AAAACAAAACCCTAACCCTTGTAGGATATAAATAGAAGTCTTTTAGCATTATTTTGGGGGAATTTTCTTTTAAGGATCTTGGTAGAGAACAAAAATACTCAATAATGTTGAGATTAAGAGAGATTGAATGAGGCTTGGACTGAAGAATTAGGGAAGATCATCATCAACTCCATTGTTCTACCCAAGATTTCATAAATTTTTCTTATCTCTTGTTATTATTTTGTTATTCATTAATATGATTATGTTTTTATTCTTCTCCATGGGTAACTAATTCTTTTGTGATTAGGGTGATTTCAAAGCCCTAGGCATGTCTTGTGATTAATAAAATCTTCATCTATTTATCTTTTGATCCCTCTTGGTTATGTGATTATTTCTCTGTGAATAGGGTTTAGATAGATTGTCTTAATTGTTTAAATGCGTAATTAAATAGTTAGGATTAATTTATTAATGCCAATTTAGATTGTTTAGTTCATAATTGCTTTATTAACCTAAATAACTAGTGGTAAAGTGTATGCCTGCATACATGAGGGATAATCACTCAAGATAACTAAACCGACCATTTGAGTTTAGCCTTAATTCAGTAGGTCTCTCGCAACTTAATACTTTTATTACTTTGAATCTAGAGATCGTATCCTAGGTTATCTAATAAACAGGGAATTGAGTTATGACCGTATCTAATCCAACGACTCAGTAAAGAGAGATGAAACTTATCAATGTTTGGTATTTTCTGAGCTGATGTGATTAAGAAGGTAGAAAGTTAAAGAGTATTTTTATTATATGTAATTCACGTCTAGTGGTGGCAAATAAACCTTCAATCTAGTTTATCTTATTTATCTCTTTTGTGATTGTTTTCTTGTTTTACTTTGTTTAATTTTAGCTTGATAGTTTTTGTTGAGTTTTTATAATTCGTGACAAACCCCGTTTGAAGTAGATAATTCATTAAGTTCACAAATCCTCTACGAGAAAGACCCTTACTTGCTCTTTGCTACTACACAACTTTGCATAATAATTTAATGAGGTAAAATTAGGTGTTGCATTTGCATGTATCAATTCCTCTATAATAAAACATTATATGATCCAAACGCCTTCTTAGTGTATAAGAATGTGTTTTCATTATCCATCATTGATAGATCAATTGATATGGAATGTATGAATGTTCATAATTTATGAAACTTGTGGTGGGAAAAGTAGATTTGCTAAACCTAGGGAGAGAAAATATAATATATTTTTTAATTAGCTAATTATTTAATTCCTTACTAATTAAACAAATACAAAGTTTTTGAACCATGAAATGTATCATGAATACAATGACGTGGGGATCGGCCCACTTAGATAATTGAAAGAGAGGTATAGTGTTTCCAAGTTTGCCAATTCTGAAAAGGAACTGGGGATCGATCCAGTTAGATGATTGTGTGAGAGGTCTAACACTTCCAGGTTCACCAGCTCTGAAATGGAACTGGGGATGGTTCCGGAAATGTTGTTCCTGCTCAAATCTAAGACATTGAGCTGCTTCAGACGTCCAATTTCAGGTGGGATTGTCCCATTTAATCTATTATCACTCAAGTATATTGAACAAGGGAAACTCGACAACAGGATAGCATTAGCACTCTGGTCTCTCTTCTCGTATAATGGAATGCCGACAGAAGCAGTGAGGATGGAGGAACGGCAATTCGTATTAATGAGGCTCTTGAGATCAGCCAAGCTTCTTGGGATTTCACCTGTAAGAGAGTTGTTTGAGAGTTCCAAGTAACACAAATTCTCCATCTGACCAATCCAAGGAGGGATACTGCCATCCAGGTGATTCCATGACAAATCCAGCACTTGTAACTTCTTGCAACTCAACAACCAAAGTGGGATGTGGCCTTTAAGGCCACAATTTCCAAGTGCTAAAACCATCAAACTTTCAAACCCACTAACATTTTCCGGAATTTTCTCATCAATGAAATTCTTTGTAAGTATAACAAGGGTGAGATTTTTGCACTGCTGCAGCACACCAAGTGCCCTAGGTAAGTCCACAAAACTATTGTTTGACAATGAGAAAAAGAAAAGGGACGTTAGCTTTGTGAAACTCTCAGGGATTTGGCCATTTAAATTATTTGTGGCTAAGTTCAAAACTTTCAATTCACGGCAATCAGCTAGGGAATTTGGAAGGGGCCCAGAGAAATGATTAGAGGCAAGTTCAAGAGTAGAAAGACTAGGTAATCCAGTGAAATTAAGATCAATCTGACCAGTTAATGAATTGTTTCGAAGGTCAAGTACATGGAGCTTTGAGCATAGAGCCAGACTTGAAGGTAGTTGCCCAGCAAATGAATTTGAGGATGCAATTAAGATTTCCAGGTTTGTAAGGTTTCCAAACACATTAGGAATTCGACCTGACAGCTGATTTCCAGAAATAATCAAGAATTGAAGGCTAGTGAGCTTACTCAAATTATCCTTTAATAGGCCATAGAAATGATTTTCAGAGAGCGTGAGTTGCTGCAAGGATGACAAGGAATACAAGGCATCCGGAAGAACGCCTGCAAGTGAATTGTAATCCAGATGTAACTCTTTCAGAGAGGAGCTGCAATTCTCTAAGCCTTCAAGCTTGCCCCCAAAATGATTAATCGAAAAATCAAGAATCAGAATCCCATTTGAGGCACTCCAGATTTTGGAATTAAGACTGCCAGTGAATGAATTGTTGCTTATGTTGAACACAGCAAGATTAGGGAAGTCCCCAAGCTCTGACAAGTCCCCAGTGAATGAATTACTAGAAACGTTTAATGACCGAATCATTTTAAAACTTGAAAGAACTCCTGCAACGGGTCCTGACAGACTGTTATGGCTCAAATCAAGAACTTCCAGCTGCTTCAAGTTTGAGAACTCAACAGGTAATATTCCTTCTAGATGATTGAAAGAAAGATCAAGCCATTTCAGGTAAGCCAAACGGGTCAAAGAGCCGGGAACCATCCCCTTCAAACCCTTTTTCGGCAGCTTCAACATGATCACTCTACTTGTAACAGATATTTTACTATGATCATCACAAACAACACCATCCCACTGACAACAAATGGAATCATTAGACCATGATGTAACTGCGAGGCTTCTGGCAAATTCTTTCAGTGCCCACAAATCATTTGGATCACAAAGTTGGTCCTGGGTCGTGAGAACCAAAGAAGAACAAGCAAAGCAGGCGAACAATATCAGTTTGAAGTAAGTCATTGGGATAAATCCCTGTACCGCCATTGCAGAAACCAAAGAACTGTAACACAAAAATACAATAGACTTCCGATTGTTCGTTTTTTATAATGAAAAATAGAAAACCTATGAACACAATATAATGTCAACCTACACCTGAACATGATTAAATGGTTTTGAAATTTCAGAACCAAACCTTAACAAACCTCGGACTTTAAGTTAAAATGGACAGTGAAAGTTTCATTATAAGTCAGCATATAATAAACTAAAACTTTTGACAAAAGTTTCTATAATTGAAATGGTTTTGAAATTTGAGAACGAAATCTTAACAAACTCTGACTTTAAAATGGATAGTGAAATTATATGTAACTGTTAAATAATAAAGTCTACGACGTCGTTTAGAGCCAAGCAAAAACGTAGATGGATAGTGAAAATATTATCTAATAGATGCTAAGCAATAAACTATACAACACTGAAGATGAGCATTGCAAGCATACAAAGAGTTAGGTGGTTGAAAAATATACGGACGAGCATATATATTAAGATCAATTATTCCATGACTTAGAGAATCTGCCAAAATTCCAGATTTCACCTGGAAAGCTTCCTTTTTGGTTTGAATAGTTGAGATTGATAAAGACTTTACACCCAGATTGTTAAGGCTCGAATCCCTGGTAGCATTTTGTGTGGCTTCAGTAGATACATAATCGGAGTTAGAAGTGAAACGTCACGTAAGTGTTCCTAGATATAACATTTAGGGGATCACAAAGCCGACAATTTGATGTTTGGCGAGGCTTGTCGGTGTCAAGCCAATGAAGATTCGAAGTGGCGGCATGTCAGACTCTATGGTTTCGGTGGTTAGGGTTAGGGTTTGGTTTGTTGATGTTTTAATAGATTTTGTAATGAAATCTCATCAATCAATGAAGATTTCAAAACGACGGAGAAGAAGGAAGGAAAAAAAAAAAGAGCGGTTTCGTCAAACAAAGTGCGCTAGAGAAGGAAAAAATGAGAAGCGAAAAAAGAGCGCGGGAGAAGAAGAAATTGAAAATGAAAACGACGGAGAAGGAAAAAAATTCACTAATTGACGTGGCAGGCGAGTGTGTGGCAATACCACGTCACCTAACATGTCAGTTTATATAGGTTTCTTTGTTTAACTCTTTGTAAGACTTTGACCAAAGTTTTCTATAGAAAAGACTTCGAGCGTTCTTGACTTTTGACAAAATATTTGGAAAAAAAATTAAAAGGAGGGATTTTTTTCACTAATTTAATTATATATACTTACATCTCAAATTAAGAAAAAAAATTAAAAAAATTCTTACGGCAACATAATTTATTATTTTAACTATTTTTAGGTGGTGATAGATTTCTTGGGGATGATAGGTTTGATAGAAACTGTAAAATGTATTATTTTAGATTTTAAGTTTGAATACCGTTATAATTGTAAATAAAAGTAGGTATAAAACTGTCATCTAATCATTAATTTTAGAGTTGAGATGCAAATAAACTAATTCAACATACTTCAATGAAAAAAAATAATAAAATCATCGATAATTTTATATTAAATTTATATATCGAATAACGTGATAAAATCTTAATTGATTGATATTAATAAATATCAAAATTTTATCAAATCATTTCATGAATTATCTGTATAACATTACTCAAAAATTTATTATTCTGAACGATAAGTCATGATCCAGAACGTTCAATCTCGAGCAGATACTAATTATTGATTTTATAATTGGAGGATAAATCCAACTTCGGTGTCGTTCCTGGGACATGTCTACGCGCATAAAAAGCGCGTGGTGTACTTCCTTACCTGCTTTCCTATCTCTTTCGTACCATTTCTCCACTCGCGGAGTACTTGCTACTGTTGCAAAATGGATGAGATCAAGGCGATCGGCGTGGTGGGCGGTGGCCAAATGGGCTCGGGAATCGCCCAGCTCGGCGCCATGAACGGCTTGGACGTGTGGCTCCTTGACTCCGACCCAGATGCCCTGGCTAGAGCCACCAAATCTATTTCCAGTTCCATCCAAAAATTTGTCTCCAAAGGCCAGCTTTCTCAGGCAAGAATCTTCCTGTTTGGTGTCAGTTTTGATGTTTAATTATGGGTTAGGTTTAGTTTGTTTGGAAAATTTTATTATTTCAATGTAATTGAATGAGCGTTTGGTTAATATGACAGACTAGATTGCTTTTTAACCATTTATTACTTAAAAATTTAAGCATTTGTTTCTTAAAAATTTAAGCTTAGGTTATGTGAAATATTGAATCCATAATCAGTTTTGAATGAACTTTGTGAACACAAGGTGTTCTGATTCTGGATTTTAACAACTGTAATATGTACTTTACAGAAGGCGGGAACTGATGCTATGAGACTTCTAAGGTGTACTTCAAATTTGGAAGAACTTCGTTCAGTGGATATTGTAATTGAAGCTATTGTGGAATCCGAAGATGTGAAGAAGAGGCTGTTTCTTGAGCTAGACAAGATTACTAAACCTTCTGCCATTTTGGCATCAAATACAAGTTCCATATCTATTACTCGGCTCGCGTCTGCTACCAGCAGACCGCGCCAGGTGATACTCAGAATATCCTATAAAACATTTATTTAAAAGGCCATTGCATTTTTATTTATATTGTTTAAGTTTATTGATGTTTCATACATAATCTAGTATGACACCAATTTATTCTCTTAACCAAACATATTAATATAACATACACCACCAATTAACCAAACACATTTTTCTAAAAAATTACAGTAATCTTCAAGATAATATAAAATTCAGTAATTAACATTTAGTATCCAATATTCTCTGAACCAAAAGCACCCTTAGAGCATTCCTTATACATTAAAAACTTGGGATTCTTCTTCACTTTTGACCAAAACATTTGAATAATTTTCTATATTTATATTCTTTAAAGTGAAATTATTTGACAGAAAAAGAATAATTGTTTTGACAGAAACAGTTATTACAATTGGGTTTCATTAAATTAAAATTCATTCTTAAATCTCAAAAATTGATTTGTTTAACCTATACTTATAATAATAAATATAGAACAAACCCAGTTAAAAAATTTCCTTTAAAGCACAAAAAACAAGTTAGTTGAACCAATTGACGAAACAAGATTTAGGTCAAAATATATGCAACTTTATTTTAATTTAAAAATATATTTTTTTGGGTTGCATGGAAAGACAGATAAATTGGGTAAAGGTTGTTAATGGGGGTATATGGTATTTTGGAGGGAATACTGATTGGGTTTGTTTGTAAATGAATCATCATTAATCTTATTAAGTAAGCTTAACAAAATCGATAAATTGATTGATTGTGTATCACCCACATGCACCACCAGCAATGATAAACCATTGATGGTTTTTTTTTTTTTTTTTGTATTTTGCTTATGAATCGTGACATTTCTCAAAGTGGGCAATGGAGTTATAGATTATTAATAGACTCCCACCTTAGCATGTTTGTTTTGTTATCATGAACATTCATAAGAAGATGACTATTTCTTTTCATTTATTTATTTTTTTTGTGTTTGTTAAATTGATGATATATTTTAGTTCTTTTTAGTTTGTAATGTTTGGGTTGGGAGCCTTACCGGGACCCAACTTTGAGACCAGAAGCTTTCTTAATCATTTTCAAACACTATGCTGGATTTGGATTGGATTTGGAGATGTAAAAATACTATCTCTATAACCAATTTCATAAACTTCTCTTACAATCCTAACATGGTAGTAGAGTGACTATCACGTTAACTAACGACTTTGATTAAACCGAACGACTGTTCTTTAAGGACGAAGACTGTTCATTTATGAGAAATGATTGTTCCATTCAAATGAACAATTGTCCATTAACTATTGTTCCTTCATAAAGAACAATCATTCTTATGAAGGAACGATGTTGTATCTAATCAAAATCATTAGTGTTTTGAGTGCAGTGAGAGCTAATGTGACAGGTATTAACTCAGCTGTCACGTTGTGATTGTAAGAGAGGGTTTTGATATTGGTTGTAGATGTAATATTATACTTTAGAGATGTACATAGTTGGTGCTCAAAATGACGTCCTATAATGAGTTTTAGGTAAGATAGTCCACCATAGCACACTGGATTATATGTATTCAATCAATAATTCACGTGGCATGAGTTGGGTTAGCATGACGTGAGACGGGTTCAGTATGAAATCTTACAAGCATGAGTAGAATGACATGAATACAATAACAGCATGACACAAGCATAACACCAACGTTGGGTGGCTTGGATTGGTGCTTGAAATCAACCTATGGGGCCATGCCAGGAAAAAGCACAATGGGTTTTATGCCAAAGCACAACCCAATAGGTTCATGCTGGAATGACCCAAATCAGTTATGTCGGCCTAACCCAAATGGGTTGGTTTAACACGTTCCATTTGAGTTTACAAAGAAATTTGGTTAGTTTATTAAGGGAAATGATTTATAGCCCCATCAAATTGATTAGTGTCCTCTTTTAAATGAATTTTGTTTTGATAAGTTTAAACTTAATGATTAATAATTTTTTAATATACTTATTTCTCTATTTATATTTTTATTTTAATATTTAACCTTTAATTCTTTTATAAACCCTAAATCTAAATTTTCTAAATCATTGAAATGTATATTTTTTTTTCAAATAATCCTTTGTTTGGCAAAAAATATATTACTAAAGCTATAAGAAAAGATCATATAAAGGGTAAAATGAATTGAAGAAGAAAAAAGTAAGTTTCAAATTTGAAATTGGGAAAATGGGGTATGAAAAAAAAAAAAAAAAAAAAAAAAAAAAAAAAAAAAAAAAAAAAAAAAAAAAAAAAAAAAGGGAAAAGGTAATGTAAACAAAGACCTGAATAAGTTTGAAGTTAGGGAAAAAATTGAGTAATTAAAAACCCTAAGTAATTTTGAAATTGAGGGAAAAGGGGTGCAAATAAAACCCTAATTAAATAATTAAGCAAGACTTTTTAGGATTAAATGGTGTTTAAAGAATTTTTAAAATAAATATAGTTGTATTTAATATGAGGGATAATGATCAATTTGAGGGAGACTAAAATCACTTCCTTTGATTTAATTATCATATTGGACTTTGGTTCAATTATGATTTAAATACTGGGAACAATTCATTATTTAGGGGCTGTTTGGATCGGGTAAATTAGATAATTGGGATAATATTTTTTAAATTGAGCAAGTGACGATGTTTGGTTGGTTTGTAAAAAATTATTCCCGAAATATTTATGACAAACAATAGCAGTTGGGGGTAAATTTCAGGAATCTTAATACCTTTTTTTTTTTTGGGGGGGGGGGGGGGGGGGGGGGGGGCCGGCGCGGCGTATTATTAAAACATACTGGTATTATAATTTTTTTTCCCATATTGCCCTAAACAGTTGAGTATTTGATCCAAAATTAAACTTATATTTGTTAATATTTACCAAACACCCAATCACACATGTAGACATTTGTCCTCGCTTTTTAATTTTTGGATGACATTGCCCTTGTATTTATTATTACAGAAATGCCATATACCCAGAACTAGCCATCATCGGCAGCCACCGGAGGTGTCAAAAGTTGTATAATGGCGTACGACCGATTGTATATGGCCAGTCGTGCGTCGATGAGGCTTTTTCTGACAATGGATCCATGTTCAGAAAAGGCCAGATTTGGCTGTTTATGACCAAGGATGTGGCCGTAAAACGACGATAATCTGGCTGTGAAACAACTAGGTCTTTGGCTATGAAACGACGGCGGTTCAGACTAAAGACGTGGCCATGAAATGACCAGATCTATGGCACGTCGGCAACACGACCAGATTTGTGGCACTGCCAACAGCGCTAGCAGTGATGGCTGGCTGCCAATAGTGGGTTGGGGTGGGTAGGGGTTTTTGTTAAGTTTAAAACGTTTTTGGTTGCTAGGGTGTTTTGCTAAATTGAAAAGTGGGTTTAAAAGAAATTATTCAAAAAATAATAATAAAAAATTACTGTTATTTTATATTAAAAAAGAGGGCAATTAGTAATCTATATAACATACCCACCCATTCCTTCAATCAAAATATTATCACCAATTTATTCGAACAAACCAAATACATTTCCAAAGATTCCCAATAATCTTCAAGGTAATCTTTTGTTCGTTAATATAATATCTTGATAAGTTCTTGAAAATACACTTATAGTTAGTGGTTTATAGGTATCATTTGTGGGAAATTAGGATTGATTTGTAGAATTAACTTAATTGTTTCATAATGCACTTTGGGATCATGAGTATTTTTTTGTGTTTTTAAAAAATAAAGCTTAAAAATATATTTGGATGAGAGATGTGTGGAGAGAGAATTTTTTACGATTGGAAATAAACGGATCGAGAGATGAGTTGAATGAAGAAGTATGGAGCTTTGAAGTAAAGAGGAAAATCTAGATTCACTCCAGTTTGAACATGTCTCAGTGTTTCGACAATAACTTAAGTTGTAGATATTGTGTCGAGATGATTCTTAAACCATTGGAAAGCTGATTCAAAGGGGCTAAATTTCATATGTTACCACATCGCCAGATTCCCTCGTTATCATGCTAAAAAATAACTATCTTGGAGTGCTGAGGAATGATGCAAGGTTAGAAGAGGAATTGGACCATGCCACAGCACAACAAAACCAGAAACAACCATGCCACAACCACTTAGTCCATAATCAACCAAGCCATAGCACAGTGTCGGGGCACAATCACGAGAGTTGGAAATTTTCTTCTGTTTTGACTAGGAAAATAGGGTTTAAGAATCCTAAACTAAATAGAATTAAAGAAAACAAAACCTAACCCTTGTAGGATTAAATAGAAGTCTTTTAGCATTATTTTGGGGGAATTTTCTTTAAGGATCTTGGTAGAGAACAAAAAATACTCAATAATGTTGAGATTAAGAGAGATGAATGAGGCTTGGATGAAGAATTAGGGAAGTCATCATCAACTCCATTGTTCTACCCAGATTTCATAAAATTTTCTTATCTCTTGTTATTATTTTGTATTCATAATATGATTATGTTTTATTCTTCTCCATGGGTAACTAATTCTTTTGTGATTAGGGTGATCAAAGCCCTAGGCATGTCTTGTGATTAATAAAAATTCATCATATTTACTTTTGATCCCTCTTGGTTATGGGATTATTTCTCTGGGAATAGGGTTAGATAGATTGTCTTAATTGTTTAAATGCGTAATAAATAGTTAGGATTAATTTATTAATGCCCATTTAGATTGTTTAGTTCATAATTGCTTTATTAACCTAAATAACTAGTGGTAAAGGTATGCCTGCATACATGAGGGATAATCACTCAAGATAACTAAACCGACCATTTGAGTTAGCCTTAATTCAGTAGGTCTCTCGCAAAATTAATCTTTATTACTTTGAATCTAGAGATCGTATCTAGGTTATCTAATAAACAGGGAATTGAGTATGACCGTATCATCCAACGACTCAGTAAAGAGAGATGAAACTTATCAATGTTTGGTATTTTCTGAGCGATGTGATTAGAAGGTAGAAATAGTAAAGTTAAGAGTTTATTATATGTAATTCACGTCTAGTGGTGGCAAATAAACTTCAATCTAGTTTATCTATTATCTCTTTTGTGATTGTTTTCTTGTTACTTGTTTAATTTAGC